GTCTCCCACGTGGGTGGCAGGGACCCAAGTACTTGAGTGGCTCCCGGGAGTCACGAACTAGGGCTGGGCATGCCTGTGTGGAACCCGGACATCTTAACCAGGGTCTTACCTGCCAGGCCACACTACTTTGAGTGTGTTTAAAGGATGTGAAATGCTGCTCAGTTTGGGGGTCCCTTGTGTGCTCCACTGAACAGGTCACTAGGAACTGGAGGGAACTGCACTTTGGGTGGTTGGGGCAGGTGCATGGGTGGCCCGTGGGGGTGAATTGTGCTGGTCTTCAGCCAGGAGCTCCAGTCCCCATGCTGGAGCAGGAGGGGAGGCCGGAGCTGCCATCCCCACGGCCCATGGAGGAGGACCAGCCCCTGAGACGGAGTCAGGAGGCTGACGGGAGGCCTGAGCTTCCCATCAGCTCTTAGGGAAAGTCCCAGTGAGAGATCACCGGATCTTACCCGAAGGCATCGAACTGGGCGTCAACACACCTTGACCTTGTTCAGATGTTGTTTAAGAGTTCAGGATATGGGCCGGCGCTCTGGCATAGTGGGTAAAGCTGCCTTCTGTGGTGCCGGCATCCCATATGGGTGCCAGTTTGAGTCCTGGCTGCTCCACTTCCAATCCAGCTCTCTGCTGTGGCCTGGGATAGCAGTGGAAGATGGCCCAAGTCCTTGGGTCCCTGCACCCACGTGGGAGACCTGGAAGAAGCTCCTGGCTCCTGGCTTTGGATCAGCGCAGCTCTGGCCATTGTGACCATTTAGGGGGGTGAACCAGTGTATGGAAGATACCTCTCTCTCTCTCTCTTTCTCTCTCTCATCTTTCTGTAACTCTGTCTTTCAAATAAATAAATCTTTTTTAAAAAAGATATAAAAAAGTGAACAGAAATAAGGAATTGATCTGACACCCCCCTACCCCCACCACTGAAGTGTTAACCTTGCTTATCTCTTGGGCAATGGTGTCTGGGTTTATATGGTTTTCTTCTTTAATTTCTGTATTTTTCGAACGTTTTAAAGTGAAAGCTAATAATTTTAGAGTTAGGAAGACATGGAGATTCTTATTACTTTGAAAGAGGCCTGGCCACTGCAATGACCTTGTGGGTTCTGGGTGCCCCAGGGGGTTGCGGTGACCCCCAGAATCGCTCTCAGGGGACAGGCGTCGGAGCCGATGTCAGTCTGGGAGCCTCTCAGGTCGCAGACTTCTGCCCCTGAGTCTGCACCAGCAGTTTCGTTGGAAGCTGCAAGTTTAAAAATATCTCTCTCAGGTGTGTCTGGCCCCTCTCCCACTCCAGAGTCCCAGGCCTGTGAGCACTCCTTCCCCCGCCCCAGCCCCATCCCTCCCTCTATGTCAGGCTGTGCCAGACACCAGTGCAGGGAGCTGCAATCGCGTGGCTGGCTCTGAGCTCCCACCAGGGAGGCCTCTCAACCCGTTTCTCTCCATCCTCACCTCCCCTGTCTTCCCCAGGCCACCCTTGGCGCCAGCTCCGGTGGCTCCACACTAGGGACCCCCAACAAGACCCTTCCCAGGGCACTTGGAGCTGGTCAGGACTGGGCGCTTGCATCCTGCATCACCTTTGCAGACCTGGGAGCGCCCCAGTGGGGGCTGGGGGTTGCCAGGGCCACATCGTGTCCTCAGCCTTGGGGGCATGGGAGGTAGACAGATGAGCTCCATCTGAGGGGCCTCTCCAGGGGCAGCCGCACGGCTGGACGACCAGTGTCTCCCAAACCACAGTGCAGCACACGGGCACTCTCAGAGCACCACCTCCAGGGGCTTTCTAGAACATTCCATGCTGGGAAACTCCTGGAGTGGCATTTGGCAGCAAACATTCTTTAACATTCAAATGCCAGGTGCCAAGCTGGGGGGTTCTTATGAATATTTCCTCGTTTAACTTAAAGTTTAGTTCATTCTCCCAACAACCCTGGTTGGGAGGTGGCATCTTCTTCGTTTGCAGAGGGAGTCGGGGCTGGTGACCTTCCCAGAGCAGTCCTGGGGGAGTGCAGGGGACAGTGCTAAATTTTAAAAAAGTTAGTTAGCTGAAAGGCAGAGGGGCCGGCACTGTGGCGTAGCAGGTAAAGCCGCTGCCTGTAGTGCCAGCATCCGTATGGGCACTGGTTCCAGTCCCAGCTGCTCCATTTCTGATCCAGCTCCCTGCTGATGGCCCAGGAAAGCAGTGGAGGATGGCCCAAGTCCTTGGGCCCCACACCCATGCGGGAGACCCAGAAGGAGCTCCTGGCTCCTGGCTTTGGATCGGCACAGCTCCGGCCATTGCAGTCATCTGGGGAGTGAACCATCAGATGGAAGACCTCTCTCTCTCTCTCTCTCTCTCTCTCTCTCTCTCTGTCTCTCTGCCTCTCCTTCTCTCTCTCTGTAACTCTGACTTTCAAATAAATTAATTAGTCTTAAAAAAAAAAAAAGCCGAGAGAGAGAGAGAGAGAGAGAGAGATATCTTCCTTACCCTGCTTCATTCTCCAAATGTCTGCAACAGCCAAGGCTGGGCCAGGCTGGGCCAGGAGCCTGGAGCTCTATCAGGGTCTCCCACGTGGGTGTCAGACTCAGTAGTTGGTCATCCCCTACTGCCTCCCAAGGTGCCCATCTGCAGAAAGCTGGAACTGGGAGCTGGAGCTGGGGCTGGAACGCAAGCACTCTGACACGGTTTGCAGGCGTCCCGAGGAGGGTGTTAGCCACCACGCCCAGCGCCTGCCCATCACAGAGACGTGTCCTCGGGGGCGGGGGTGGAGCAGCTGGGTGTACTCTGGGACTTCCAGCAGCATCCTCAGCCGCCACCAGCAGATGCCAGCCGGGCCCTCTTTCAAATCATAACAACCACAATTGCCGGCAGACCTTGGCCACTGTTCCTTGGGGCACAAAGTTGCCCACGCTGAGAACCACTGTGCCGGCCGGATCTCCCACCCAAGGTTGTTCTGAAAATCCTCAAAAAATCTTTTCCTTCCTTCCATCCCCCTCCCTCCCTCCCTCTTGGTGCGTGATTCTTCCTTCACCAAGGGCAGACCGAGCGGACAGGGTTCCACCTGCAGCTCTTGATGCTCCATGATGCTGTGGGTCCTGTTTGGGTCAAGGCACAAGTTCAAGCTTGTCCCTTTCCCCCTGGGTAAAAGTAGCATGGACCCATTTTACAGATGAGAGCATTTGGAGCAGGGACAAGGCCAAAGGAGGGACACAAGTCATGTACAGTCCCAGGCACAGGCATCATTGGCAAGTGGGCAATCCCCAAAAAGTTCAAGGCTGGGGAAGGCAGAGGGAGGCAGCAGTAACCAAGACTGGCCAGGCATTTTTCAGTGGGTTCCCGTTCCCCTTGGGCTTTACTGCATTTCCCACCATCCTTTGCCCCGGGATGTGGCCACTGGCAGGTGGGCAGGTGAAGTCACAACCTCCTGGTCCATTAAAATCCGCGAGACCTTCTATCCGTGAGTCCAGCTTCCCTCTCTCCTCCCCCTGCCCAGCGGATGGCCACGCCCAGGGCGTCTCTGCAGTCCATGCTGGGGACAGCAGGGCCTCCGCTGTGCAGCCTCAGTCTCTGCATCCCTGCGTGGAGCCCAGCACCGCCCAGCCGAGGCTGACTTGAACTTGCATTGCAGGAAGCCAGCCTGCCCCAGTCCTACAAGGCAAGTGTGGACTGGGCGCCCCTGGGCTGCAGGGGGCGCTGAGAAGAAACCGGAACATCTCTTTCGGTGCCAGTTCTTGTGGATCTGACTGCAAGACAGGGAGGCAGCATTTTCAGCAAGACTTAACGCGTGACCAGGGGACCACGGGAGGTGGCGCCAAGTCTCTCAGTGCAGACCGGCCCGGGAGTAGTCACCCAGGACGGCTGCGACGCTTGTGCTGAGCCAGGGCTTCCTCAGGGCTAAGAATAAACTGGAGACACTAAACTGGAGACAATAAACTGAAACAAGGAGCCAAGTTGGGGCGGCGCTGGCTACAGACCGCACACCGTCAGCCCGCAGCGTGGCAGGGTCCCTGGAGGCTCAGCACCCTGGGGACACCGGCTCCCCGGGTGCCCATCCTCGGGCGGCAGGAAAACAGGTTAAGCTTCGGAAAAGTCAATTTCCTGCGGCCGCTCTCGGGATGCTGGGCCAGGAGCCTCCCTGCTCGACACCTTTTTCCAGGACCCGGGAGGGACCGGCATTCGTGAGGCCAACACTCTCTTGACAGAGGCCCCAGGAGAGGCAGAGAAGCCCATGGCCCTCAGGGAGGAAAGGCAAAGGCACAGTCGGCTGAGAAGGTCCCTGGGCTGGGCGAGGATGGCCCTCGGGGGTCATGGGCAGCTGTGCCTGCTCCAAGGGCAGGATGCCATTGGGGTCCGTGCAGCTCGCGGAATAACACTGGACCAAGGGCATCTCTCGGGCCCCCTCCCTCTGTCCCTTACCTCGCTGCTCCCTTGGCCGGGGGCAGTGGTGGCCTGGAGCAGTGGTGGCTCCCTGTGGCTGGCTGCCCCTCTAAGATTAGGCAGCTTGGTCTGGTGCCAGCAGGAAGAAGCACATTGGCCCCTAGCCCCAGCTGTGTCCTCCTGTCCAGCTTGGCTGGTACCTGGGCTCCCCTCTCTATCACTTCATCATATCAGGATTCAGAGGGATTGGAGTTTGGCCACAGGACGTCATCAACCCTCTACTGGGCAAGTTACGGCTTCGGCAGCCATGGCTCTGTCCCGACAGTCCCCTCTCCCTGGCCCTGATCCTCTACTTGGGGCTGGCTCCTCAAGCTAGGCCCGCCTTGCTGAGCTGCCCAGGCCATGGCTGTCCATCCTCTGGCTCACCTGTGAAAGGGCATCTGGACAGTACCGCCCACAAGCCTGTGGCCAGCCAGCGGTCCCGGGGAGGCGGCCAGCAGCCAGGTCAAAGCTCAGAAGCCCACCCTGATCAGAGCCCACCCCTAGCCTCCCTTTCTCTTGGAGGGCCCACAGTGCCCCCCCATCCCAGACCCCTGGAGTCCTTAACCCTCAACATCCACAAAGACTCAAGGGGAGTTCTTCCCCCACTCCCCTAATTCAAGAAAAGAACATTTTAAAAATGTTTTTATTTAATTAAAAAAAAAAAGACAGAACTAACAACCCCAAACCAGTGGCAGGTACAGGATTCACAGGTGCTTAACTGGCAAAACACGTGGGGCATGGGAGGGGGTGAGAAGGTGGGCACAGGCCACTGCGTCCCCTGCAGGGGCTGCCAAGTCTGAGACCGGCTGTGGCCAGGGAAGGGTCCTCAGACAGGGATGGCAGTGGGGACAAAGGCTGTGAAGGCTGGGGCTCCCTCTGGGTCGCTGCTTCCCCTTCTTTCTACTCTGTCTTGGTCCCTAGCGTGGGCTCAGTCTCTGCCCGGGACTGGGTAAGAGGTAGGATGCATGGGAACACAGCTTTCCCGAGGGTCACAGAGACCCCGCGGGCAGCGGCGGGGAGGCCTTGCTTTCCAAAGGGACAGGGGACAAAGTCCCAGGGCCTTGATGGGTCTGTGGGCCGAGACTGCGACCCCTCCCCCCAGCATGGCAAGACAGTGGCATGGCAGGGGAGGGCTGAGGGGGGGCAGGGACAGGCACCGTCCTGAGGCTGCCACGCTCACTGCTGTGCCTGCTCAGCCACTTCACGTGTGTGTAGGGGGAGTGGGGGTGGGGGGCTGGAGCAAGCTCGCCTCTCGTCTCAGCTCATGGCCAGCTCACGGGGTCGGCTGGCTGCAGCCGCTGCAGGTACACACAGCTCCTCTCCTGGGGACAGAGGAGGGTAGGACACTGATGTCATCACCAGATCATGGGGTGTGGGTGTGAGTGTGTGTGGGGGGGCCCAGGTCTGAACTCCTAGGGGCGGAGTTGGCCAAGGGCTCCGTGAGCAGGTGGCTGAGGTAAGAATTTGCTCATCCCTCCTAGGCGGGGCAGCTCCCGGGGTTACAGAGGACCGTGCAAGATCGGGCTCGGAAGTCTGAAAAAGTAAGAAACCAGTTGTCTTTAGAAAGCACGTGGGTTCTAGAAAAGAGGGCAAATGCTACGTTCCGGGAGTTCTTCTTCCGCACCTGGAGACACGCCCACATTCTCCGCTCGGTTCAGGAGGGAGAAAACCGGAACACGCAGAACCCGTGTCCCCAGTTACGAAGGGAGGGCTGGGGTGGGGAGCAGGGAGGGGCTCTGGTAGGAGGGAGAAGGGCCCAGCCTGGCCTTTCGGGCCCGGCTTCTCAATAAATCACGCCGACAGGAGCCGGGGCAGGCGCTGCTCTGCTGGGACCTGCTCTGGCCACAGTCCTGACGCGCACCCAGGCACGGGCTCGTTCTCTCAATTGTTTTGTTTTTTGGTTGCTGTTCCCCTTGGGAGGGAAGGCCACGGCAGGAGGCCACGTGGCTGCCTGGGACCTGTGGAATCTTCCAGGCTCTCAGGTACATCGGGGTGTCCTGTCCACTCTGAGTGACGTAGACACTTCCAGAGGCAGACGGGAAAGCCAGCCACAGCCCTGGGGCCCGGTCTCCTCCGCGGAGGGAAGCCAGCCCAGGACAGCACGGAGGCTGAAGCACCAGTCGGCTGCACGGCTTCTCTTCGCAAGGATGATCTGTCAGTCACAGACCACGGCCAGAGAGAGAGAGAGAGAGAGAGAGAGAGGCTGAGAGAGACAAGGAGGAAGGGAGCGAGCTTTGTGTCCTCACTTCTGGCTCAAAGACACGGGAAGTTCAGGTTCAAGAGCAGCTGACAGAGTCCAGAGGCCCCAGCGCCCGGGCAGGGAGGGGAGGCCTGGACAGCCCACTTTTCTGGCAAGATCCGTGTTCAGGAGGAAATAACAGCTTAACCCCGTTTTCCCGTGCGGCCTCAGGAAAGCTCCTGGCACCTCGGCCATGCCGAGTGCATCCAAATCCCCTCTTCTGGGACCAGGTCAGCCTCGGCATTGGCCATGGCCCTGGCTCCTGGCTCCGGGCTCCGGACTCCGAACTCCTGCCCCGGGGGAGGGCTGTGCTGGGCTCCAGTTCATTGTCCGTCGTCGTGGTCGTGTCGAGGGTCCCACGCCCTCCCGGGGCCACCAGCGGCACCGCGGGGCGGCTCACACGGGCGTCGTCCTCCGGTTAAGCATGCTCACGTGGAAGCCCTCTTTCAGATCTTGCTGGAAGAAGTCATGCACCTGCAGGAAGCTGGCCTCCTGGTCCGGGCTGTAGCTGGCGGCCGTGGTCACCTTCAGGGGCTCCCGGGACAGCGTGTACATGGACAGCTCGCCCATGGGGATGGCCCCCGCGACCTTCAGGCCCACGGGTGACGTGTCCCTGGACGGCGAGGCCTCTGCGGACCTGGAGCTGGACCGGGAGCGCCGTCGCCGGTACCTGTAGCTCGGCATCCTGGCGTACGGAGATGACGACGAGGCTTTCAGGAACTCCCGTTTGGTCTTAAACCTCAGCTCTTTATTTTTCTCAATGTAAATGTTTACAGCCAGGACGCCCACGGTCTCGGCCACGATGAACGACAAAGCTCCGAAGTAGAAAGACCAGCCGTAGTTGTAGTGGTTCTTCTTGTCTTCGTCCCGCTTGTCGCTGGGGTCGCCCGTGTTGCTGGAAATGTAGACGATGATTCCTATGATGTTACTGAGGCCTGCAGGGCAAGCGGGGGAGGGAGAGAGGCAGAGGTCAGACCCACGGCCAGATGCACAGGACTGGGGACGGGGGGCTACAGGAGGGGCTGCTGCCCACGTGCCTCCTTGATCCGTGTTCTCTTTATTCTGGTTGCTAAGTTTTCTCTCTTTTTTTTTTTTTCTTTTTTTAAAATGTTTTTGACAGGCAGAGTGGACAGGGAGAGAGAGAAACAGAGAGAAAGGTCTTCCTTTGCCGTTGGTTCACCCTCCAATGGCCGACGCGGCCAGCGCGCTGCGGCTGGTGCACCGCACTGATCCGATGGCAGGAGCCAGGTACTTATCCTGGTCTCCCATGGGGTGCAGGGCCCAAGCACTTGGGCCATCCTCCACTGCACTCCTGGGCCACAGCAGAGAGCTGGCCTGGAAGAGGGGCAACTGGGACAGAATCCGGCGCCCCGACCGGGACTAGAACCCGGTGTGCCGGCGCCGCAAGGCGGAGGATTAGCCTAGTGAGCCGCGGCGCCGGCTTAACTTTTCTCTTAAGGACAGTTATCCCCAGGTGTCTGTGGGGTGTCCTGTGGGTCCCCAAGTCTGCAGATGCGTAAGTCCCTTACAGAAAACGACAGCACTGGCCTTGAACCCACACACTCTTCCCTAGAGCTGAAGTCGCTCTAGATGACTTGGAATACCTAGTACAGTGTCAAGGCTATGTAAAACGTGGCTACACTGGGTCGCTTAGGGATCGGAAGAATTACACTCTGCACACGTCCAGTACTGATGCATTTTTTCCCCAGCGGTTGGCTGAGCCCATGGCTGCAGGAGCCATGGCTGCAGAGGGTCACTGGACTGAACTTTGAATGGGTTTGGGCAAAGAAAGTTCCAGTGAGGTGGACACAGACCCTGCGCCGCCCCTGTCCCCCTGAAGGCAGGTGCTCTTTTGCCTAATATCCTTCCACTGGTCTCTCTCTCTCCCCCACTCTCTTCTATCGACACCCTCCCCATGTTTTCCCTTTACACAGTATGAGAGCACTTCAAAACATGTGCAGAAATGGAACTAAAAGATAAATTTATTTTGGTGCAAAAAATTTGAAATCCACACATAATTTTTTTCACAATATACATTTCACACAAACTCTTTGAAGACTCTGTTATGGATCCGCACAGGCAGAGCTGCCCTCGCTTCCTGTCTGCCCTGGGACAGCTCATGGCCACCGAGCCAGGCCTCTGCAGGTGGATGTTGCGGTGGCTTCCACCCCTACTTGCACTAAGTTGCCATGGACACCCTACAGCACTGAACACGGACGTGAGATACAGCTGTGGGCTGAGTTCCTTGAAGTGAGATCGCTGGGTCACGGGGTATGTGCACTAAGAAACTTAAAGCTAATATGCTGCAATGATTTTTAAAATCAACGTTTATAAAGTTTTATTTATTTATTTATTTATTTGAAATCCAAGGTGATAACGAGAGTTAGACAAAGACAAAGAGAGATCTTCCATCTGCTGGTTCACGCCCCAAATGCCTGCAACAGCCAGGGGTGGGTCAGGCTGAAGCTTGGAGTTTGGAACTCAGTCTGGGTCTCCCACATGGGTGACAGGGACCCAACTGCCTTAGACACCCTCTGTGCCTCCCAGGGTGTGTGTCATCAGGAAGCTGGAACTGGGAGTGGAGCCAGGACTCGAACCCGTGTACTCTGATACAGGATGTGGGTGTCCCAAACAGCAGCTTACCCGCTGTGCCAGACACCTGCCCCTTGCCCGCCTAGGAGCCTGTCTCACCTCACTGCTGGGCAGCAGCGGCCTGGAGCCAGGCCCTGTATGTGGCCCAGTGCCTGCCACTGTGCCGGGCCCCAGAGCTCTGTGCAGCAGGGAGTAAAGTGACGTCCCATCGCTTGCCTGCCAGTCGCTTCCTCACTGCTGCAGAAGCTGCTATGGTTCCTCTCTGCTGCGACCCCTCTGCCCCGGCCGCGGCTCCCAGCCCCACACTGAGCCTCTCAACCTGCCTCGGAAATGGCTCCTGCATGGCAGCTGCAGTGGGCACCTGGAAGTATTTGGAGGCTGAGGCCGCTGGCTGCCTGTGTCCAGGGGAGGACACAGCGTGCACCTGGCCCAGGGCCGTGGAGGTGGCGGCCATTGTGAGTCCAAGTCTTGCTTCCTGCCCTGGGGAAGGCAGCTCTGGGATAATATGCAAACACGTGTCGCACCTGGGGAAATCTGACTTTGTAAAGGACCAGGTGAGGACAGGGACAGAGAGAGCAGGTGCAGAGAAGAGACAGGAGGGTGCAGGGTCTGGCCAGTGGGGAGGATCATGCCTCCTCCTGGGAGACCCTAAACACAGATGCCCCGCCCCCATGAGCACACATGCCACACTGTTCATACACACACATGTTCATACAAACCATGCACATCACACGTATAGGCACACGTGACTTGTCCCGGCACACACAGGAGCACAGCCTGCATATGTGTGTGTGTTGCCCTCCAGGAAGACACAAGCTGAAGTGGGGTTCAAGAGCACAAGACTGGGGCCCCGGCTGCCAGTCCTTTTGTGGCCTCCAGCCAGCCACGGAACACAGGCCACGGGTCCTCTCCAAGAGAAAGCGGGAGAGGAGCACGAGGTGGGGTGAGCCGGCTGTGCAGGCAGCCTCAGCCGTGGTCATCACCACTGTGGGCATGCGGAGGCCGGCACAAGGGGCGGAGCCTGGGCCGCTGCTGGGATGGTTTCTGCAGTGAGGGCTCGGAGGGCCCGCAGCTCCAGGGGCTCCTCTCAGACCCCCCCCCCCCCGCCCCGGCCAAGCCTCTCTTTGCATTCCCTGAGGAGCTGCCTGCCGAGCCAGCGCCAGCCTCTCGCAGGCCTCTCGGGGTCAGCAAAGACATCGCCTCCGCCGTACCCTAGGGACTTGGGCCACACCACAGGGCCTGGGGGTGTGGGGGCTGGGCTGACCACCAGGGCTACAAGATGGCTGTGGCTGACTGACCATGGCTGTGAGACGGCTGTGGCTGAGACTGTGGCTATGAGACTGTGGCTGTGAGACGGCTGTGGCTATGAGATGGTCATGGCTGTGAGACTGTGGCTGTGAGATGGCTGTGGCTGTGAGACTGTGGCTGTGAGATGGCCGTGGCTGTGAGATGGACGTGGCTGTGAGATGGCCATGGCTGTGAGACTGTGGCTGTGAGATGGCTGTGGCTGTGAGACTGTGGCTGTGAGATGGCCGTGGCTGTGAGATGGACGTGGCTGTGAGATGGCCGTGGCTGTGAGACACACCTCCCCGGCCTCAGTCTGTTCCAGGGCTGCAGGGACCAGCCATGCACTGGTGGCCTCTCGCAGGGCACAGAGGCATGGGTGGAGTTAAGCACCTTGGCCCTGCTTCTGGGGGTTCCCTGGTCACACTTTGGGGCGGCAATGGGCGTGGCTCTGAGGCATGGCTGCCCTTCTGGGCTGGGAGAGCCAGAGCAGGCGGGTGGGCAGGCTCCTGGCCCTCTGCAGGGCCTCCTTGTTCCCACTGCCCAGCTTGCCAGGCCGTGCTGTTTCTCTGCATGGCCACTGTTCCGACCGACTGCGGGCCCTGCCCTGTCCTTCCCCCGTCCCCTCTTCAGGGTGTGGCTTCCCATCGCTCCCTGGGTGCCCCCTCCAGCCAGGCTCGCTGTTACGGGCTGGCAAAGCACGCAGCACCCCACCTTGGCGGAGCTTTGCACACCTGGATGTTAAGACGTGTTTCTGATTGAGGAGAAACTCAGACAGGAAGTGCAAGGCTCTGCGGCGTTTGTGCACGGGCAGTGCCGTGCCGCCATTGCCTCTTTCTGGTTAAACCCCTCGCACCACCGGCAAGGATGCGATCAGCAGCTGCTCCCGGCTCCCCCCTCCCCGCCCCAGGCCTTTGTATACCTGGACTTCTCCCGGCGACTCCAGCCAGGATGGGGGGACCAGGCGATGGCACACTCCGCCGCGCCCGGCAGCGGCTTACCTGCGGCCACGAAGAGGATGCCAGCGCTGAGGACGATGTTGTTCTTGCGGCTGTAGATCCTGCCGGCGCCGATGCACAGCCCTCCCAGCAGCAGCAGGATGGTGCTGAGGATGGGGAAGACGCTGGAGGCTCGCACAATGCCTGGGCCAGAGCAGAGCGCAGTGAGGCCACCGCCCGGGAGCGCCCCCCAGCGGCCGAGCACCTTGAGGGACCCCCTCCCCCGCCAGGATCTGAAGACTCCCATCAGCACCTGGGCTCAAGGCAAGCCGCGGCCCCAGGGCTGTGGGTCACTCTCCCCCAACACCAATGTCCGAGAGCCACATCTGCCCACACTCCCTCGGGTGTGGGCCACACTTCTGAGAGGCCGAGGGCAGCACCAGGAATGGCCACAAACACCCTGGACTGCATGCATGTGAACGACACCTCACAGCCCCCTGAACCCTTCTGTGCCGTAGTCTGCATGAAGCAGCACCCAGCTCTGCGCTGGAGGGCACCTTGACCTTGGGGGCGTGCAAAGGGGCCCTGCTCTGTGACACGCGGGTGGGTGGCCTCGGTCCAGTCACTTCTTCCCCATTCCATCTGTGGAATGGGGTTCACGAGGCAGCCCCTGCCGCTGTCCACAGGGGTTACTCTCCAAGACCTCCATGGGCCCCCGGCGCCTCGCCTGTGTTCAAGCCCTACATTTACCATATTTCCTCCCATGCCTGTGGTCAAGTTTAGCTCACAAATCGTGTGCAGTAAGAGATTAACCACCACGAATTGTAAGACAGAACAATTATATCACTATAGCAAACATATTTAAAACTTAAGAATTATTTCTGGAATTTTCCATTTTGTATTCCAGATCATGGTTGACTGAAATCATGGAAGGTGAAATTGTGGAGAAGGGGGGATGGTGGTCGTACCAATGTCCTGTGGCACAAAGTGCTTAGCACGGGGCTAGCCATTGCTTGTGCTTCCGAGGGGACGTTCTTTGTCTCCATGTCATCGGCATCACCACCCCCAGGTGATAGACATGGATGCGGAAGCTCAGGGCTTGTGGGGGTGGTGGAGTGGGGTGCCTGGGGACCATGGTGTCCCCCACAATTCCGCCATCCCCTCGTCCTGCCAGTGACGTTGGCGGCCACCCCCATCCCTCTTTGAGCACTGGGCACGGCAGTAACGCCAGGCCAGGCCTCCACAATGTGCATGTCCTCACCCCTAGAACCCGAGACCGCCCGCTGATCTGGAAAAAGGGCTTTCGCACAAGCGATCAAGTTCGGGATCTCCAGGTGACATCATCTGGATTGAATGGGGTGGGCCCCGCCTCCTCAGAAAGCTCCTCCCAAGAGGCAGGCAGGAGGCCCACAGGGGAGAAGGCCGGTGAGGACGGACAGGGAGGGGGCTACACTGATGCTGCACGGGGGAGATCTTTGCCCGGCCGGCAGAGGCGGCAGGTGTCCTGCCACACCTAGATTTTGGACTCCTGGTGTTGTAAGCCACGCTGCGTACGCTCATTTGTTAGGGCCACCTGGGAAGTGGGCACACGGCTGCGGAGTGTCCCTGGGGACGGCTCACAGAATAAGGTGCAGACAGCACTTAGTAGGGTAGCAGCTGGCGGGGGAGGCAGGACAGGGGCAGGAGGACACAAGGAGGAGCCCGAGGCTCGGCCGTCCCGGCATGCCCGTGGGTCTCCCGGCCCAGCAGCAGTGGCCCCAGAAGCGGGTAGGGGGTCCCCGGCACTGGCAGGCGCTACCCTCCCGAGACAGCTGAGTACCTCTCCAGCCGTCAGCCTCTGAAGGCAGCGTTTGTCCCCTGTTTGGTGATCCCCCCCGGGGAGGCCCCCGCTGCACAGAGCAGGGATTGTGCCCAGAGCTCAATGGAGCTCTTCTCCCGGGTCCCCTGGCAGGGCCTTCCTGTGCACGTCTCAAACGCGCCTCTGAGCTGTGCTGCCCCCTCCAGCTCTGCACACGCCCTGGGCGCCGCAGATGGGTCAGAGGAGCTGGGGAGAAGGGAGTCCACTTCCTCTAGGGTCCCCGAGGCATCCGTCCTGCCCAGGTTAAGTCACGCGAGCACCAGGCTTCATCCCGAGCTCTGGCTGTGCCCACGGCAGCCCAGCTGGGGGCGGGGGTGGGGTGGGGGGAGCTGAGGGACAGAGGAGGCCGAATGCAGCTCAGCCCCCGCCCTGCTGGCCACGTGAGGGCTCTGCACCTGCCTAGAAGGTGGACCTCCTCCTCTGTCTTGCCCTCAGGCCCACTGTGGACTCCCGGCAGCCCCGGCACTGCCACTCTGTGGCTCCTGGGCAGGAGGTGGGCGGTGACCCTCTCCAATCCCTGCCCCAACCAGCAGGGGGCATCACAAGTACTCAGAGGCCCCATGGAAACCTGGGAGGTAACCCTGAGGGTGCGACTGGGCGTGGACTCCCTGCTAAACTGTCTTGGGGCTGGTGTGAGTAGCAGAGCCTCAGACCCACGGCCGGCACTCTGATCCGGACCAGCTGAGCGGCCTGCAGTGGGCTCTCCGGCACACAGCTCCACCAGGAACCTGCTCCCACCCCCCACTGCCTCCCATGTGCCTGACACAACGCCCGGCACGTACTGCGTCCATGATAGCTTCTCTGAGTTCTCAGGACTCCCACCTCCTGCCCCAGGCACCTCTCTCCAATGCTTCTACATATTTTGGGGAACAGCGAGAGTTAGGGTGGCCTTGGAACACAGTCAGGAGGCCCTGGGGACCGTGACCTTGGTCTGTGCTCACCCCTCCATCCCCAGGCTCCCAGGCACCTGCCCACTGGAGGTAAAGAATGATCAAAGAGCCAACGCCCCAGTTTCTGCAGCCACAGAGCGGGAAAACAGCCCCCTGGCAGGCGTGGGGTGGGGGGAGTCAGCTCTGCCACTCCCAATTCAGCCAGCAGCTGGAGACCGCGGGCCCGGAAGCTGCCAACCCTTCTCCTACGTGTGCAACTCTGGGCAGTCTCCAGAACTGGCTGGTCTCCCCTCGTGTCACGAGCTCCACTGGCTGTGTGCCGGGCCCATCACTCTGCTGGGCACAGTCACTCCGCAGCCTGACCTGCGTGCACGCTCCCGGGGCACCGCTGGTCGAGGACCCGCGGCCACGCTGCTGACGATGCTGCCTGCGCACGTTCTCGGTCTGCCCCTCCTCCCATCCTCCTCCACCCTGCCCTGGGCCCAGGGGGGGCGCCCCACCTCTGGCTGAAGAGGCTGCACACTTCCTGACGGCCACAGCTGCTGCCAGGGGCCCCGGCCCTGCGACTTCCCTCCTCCAGACCCCCTACCTGCCTCCCTCGGCTGTCCAGGCCACTGTGGCCCTAGGGGGTCAGCGGCCCTCGTAGGATTCCCTTAGCCTGGCTCGCACCTACATAAGCGGTCCCTCCTTGAATGCCCTTCATTTGCCCCTTTTGAGCAAACACCTGCTTCCGGCTGGGGCCTCAGGTAGCCAGGCAGGCTGAGCTCCGGGCTGATCTCTGAGAGCGATCCCTGAGCTCTGGGACCACCAAGGGGGAGCAGCAGGTGAATGAAGAACAGCCAGTGCCCGTGAGCTCAGGCGAGGTCAGGTGGGCACCGGGAGGGGGAGGGTTTGCTTCCCCACCGCCTCCCTCCTCGCCGTCCCAGGACGGGCCAACGGAGCCAAGCTCAGAGCCTCAGGAGCCACTCGCTTGCCCTGGGTTGTGGGGGTGGGGGGAGAAGTGCCGATGCTGAGTGAGGCTGATTTTCAGTTGAGCTATTCCCAGATCAAGGGCTGCTGTGCATGGCCGTGTGGGCCGGGTACCGTGAGACCTGAGGGTTGTCATCACACCAGAATCTATGCAAGCGACACCCCTTGAGTTGTGCAGTGTACAGCCTGTACAACTATCTGTGGCATCCCTATGGGAGTCTCATTTGCTTGGTTCAGAGCGGGCCCTAAGTGAGCGGAACCCGAGGGAAGGCAGGAAGAGAAGGTGGGGAAGGGGGCCACGTGACTGCAGGTGCTGGGCCTGGCTGGAGCAGCCCGCCACGGCCCCGGCTCCATGGGAACCGCACGCTGTTCTAATCTGAAGCCTTTCTCTAGAAAAAAAGCTGCAAGCGGGTGCATGGTGAGTCGTGCTTCCTCTGAGAGCTCCGCTATTGATTCTCCAGACACGGAGCTGGGCCTGAGCCGGGGGCGCCGCGGAGCACAGCTCTGTGTCTCTTGGTTAATGGCAAAGGGGATGGCGACTTGGAAACGGTGCTGTTTTTCCACTCCCAGGCTGCTCCCTGCCGTGCCTCCCTCCTTCCGCCCAGGGATGAGCTCTGGGTTTGGCCCTTTGGGGTTCAGCATGTGTGTGGCTTCTGGGCTCCAGCCTGGGAGGCCCGGTCAGCCACAGGATCTAAGTAGGGGCAGGGGTCCCAGGGGCGGCCCCCAGGTCGGGGGGATGGCCTCAGCAGGCAGTGCGCATGGCATAGCAGGACCTGCCCAGCACCCCAGGAGGCTGGCTCAGCGTGTGACTTAATGAGGCTTGTGGAGAATTAGCATGCCGGGGCAAGTGGTTGGTCCGGTAGTTGGCTGGCTCTGCTCCTGATTCTGGCTTCTGGCCGGTGTGCACCCTGGTAGACAGTGGTGATGGCTCCTTGGCACCCATGGGGGAGACCTGGATTGAGTTCTCAGCCCTGGACATCATGTGCGTTTGGAGGGTGGGTCAGTGGATGGCAGCTCTCTTCGTCTCTGACTCTCAAAAAAAAAAAAAAAAAAAGCAAGGGAGGGGTGGCAGGGCAATGTGGTTGGGGTACCAAGGATGCTCAGCTTCGGGAATGCCTGTCTCTTTAACTTCCCTTGTCCCAGCTTGAGGCCCAGCCAATCAGCAATTCTGACTCTAGCCACGCCCAGCCAATCAACAACCCTGCTAGCCACGCCCAGTATCCCGTGTGCCCCGGCCCCAGAATCCCCAGGGCATCTCCCATCAGCCTCCGGTACACTCAGGGTGCGGTGCAGAGAGCAGCTCTCCCGCCACGCGCCCCGGGCCGCCCCCCCCCCCCCCCCCCCGTGCCCGCACCCAGAGGAGGCCAAGGAGCCTTGACACTCACGAAGGAGATACTCGGAGCTGTCGTGGTCATAGTCGTTGTCCTCTGGGAAGTGATTGATGCGGAAGCAGTGCCCTTTATAGATCCCTGGAGGGGAGGGAGGAGACGGAGCTGCAGATGTGCAGGTGGGGGGCTCCCGCGCCCACGCCCCCAGACCCGCCCGCGGCGCGTCGGGAGGCCCCGAGCAGGCTCCGGGACCCCGGGTCTGGTGGGCGCCAGTGCGCCCGCGCACATGCACACACACACACACGGAGGCCGCACAGCCGGGAGGGGTGCCCCGAAGCGACCGTGTCGACGACAGTCCAGTCGTGGGAACCCGCAACTCCACCGGCCAGCAGGGGCCCCCCCGAACTGCCCTGGACAAGCAGGAGCGAGGATCCCCACATCCAGGGGGCCCCAGAGCCACATCCTGAAAACCACAATTCACAGCGCTGCCATGGAAGGCTAGGACAGGCTCAGGGCGCGCCTGTCAATCTGCGTGTTCCTCTGGCAATCACATGACTAGGGCGGGTCCTTCCTGCGGTGCACGCCCGATCTGCATGCAGTGGGGCAGGAAAAGCTTCCAGAAGGGCCAGCACCGCCCCCTGCCACTCTCCAGCTCCCCACGCTGAGAAGCAGCCTTCACAGGTGGCGGGTAGGACCCCAGGCTAGTTTAGGAGCGGCAGGAGGACAGGCTAGGTTTTCCTTCCAGAATCTTCCATCAGACTCTCCCAGGCCCCTGCTCTCCTGCAGTGTGGGGATGCCCCTCACAGAACTGGACCTGGGTGGAGAAGGAAGTGCATAGGTTCTGGGTGCCGGAACCCCCCCCCCCCATGCCTGCATCAGCCTCCCCACTCCTGCAGCCAAGCAGCAAGGCGCGCACGCTGACGGCCCTGCAGCCTGCATGGGGGCTGCTTCCAGCCGGGGCCGACCCCCCCTGCCCCCCGCAGCTGCTGACATGCGTCCTGCTGGTCTCCAGCAGCCTGGCCTGACCACACAGTCGGTCCGAGCACAGCCGTGGCGGGGAGGGGAGTGCCAAATACACATGCTTCGGCGAGTCCCTAACCAGCCGGTGCACCTGCTGCCTCCCCGGTCACCACCAAAGCAGCAGTTACTGTGGCCCCAGGCTGGCTTTCCCCCCGGCCACCTCCTTAAGCAGCTGCTGGGGTACTCAGTAACAGCCCTGCTTCCCGAAGGCTCACGGGACCGAGGGCCAGCAGCAGGTGAGTGGGGCTTGGTCAGGGAATGGGGGAGACAGCCAGGGCCTGAGGAGTGGCATCTTGAGTGGGCTGTGCTTCGGTGTTGCCTAGGACACAGCATGCACTGTATCTGTATCTGTGCAGTGGGCACAGCCACAGCCCTCATCTCTTAGAGACCCTTCCTGAACAGGGCTCCGGCCAGCGCTTGAAAGCTGACTCGCGGCTCATGGTGCTGCTGGCTCAGGGGAGGCCCACTGCTGGGACCCAGAAATCACCCACGCCCTGCTGGCTGTGCCCTTGCTTTTCCAAGAGTGGCTGCGTCGGTGGTGAACCACAAGGGTCTGTAAGGAGAGCAAGCGGCACAAGTGTAGGGCAGGCTGCTCTCAGGATGGCCCATGGGGGACACGAAGGCCAGAGTGGGCCAGCCACGCCCCCTCGGTGCTCTCCCCGACCTGGGCAGGGTAGGCGGGGCTGTCTGTCGCTCCACCCCACGCCCACGTCCCCCAACCCCCCCCCCCCATTTCTTGGGTTTCAACAAAATCACTAAGTCACACCTGCTTGTTGGAATAAGTCACAATAAGTTGCAAAGAACAAGTAAGCCATTTCTCCTTTCAGGTTTGTTCTCCAGGGAAGACTAAAGTTTGTGGTATCTCCACACGCCCTCCCGTGAGTCCATCCACACACATAGGCACAGGTGGGTTCTCTCCGCTACACTTGTTAAAACCAAGCTTTCTTTGGAAATCTTCGCAGGGGCACATGCAATCCCACCAGCATCACACTGGAAACAGCTGGCTGGCTTCCTGCTGTCGCCCCAGCAGGGACACCTCGCAGAAGCACAGCACAGCTCCACGGCCGTCAGAGTCGAGCCCCGGCACATGTGCCTCCTTCCTGCCTAACCAAGGCAGTCGCTCGCATGCTCTCCACACCAGCCGTGTCGTCATTTCAGGACCAGCCCACAAAGGGAGCCACACGGGTCACCTTTGGGGCCTGTTCTCCCTGAGCACAACTCTCTCGAGGCTCATCCGACCGCTTGTGCGTGCCAGCCCTGTGTTCTGCTTGTGGCTGAGCAGTGTCCAATGGCCCGGATGGACGGAGGGGCCCCTCGTGTCTCCGGCTACTCTGAACATTCTTGGACAGGTTTGGGGCGAGCCTGGGTTTTCATTTCTCCGGGGTACATGTGGAGGAGTGTGACACGATGGTGGCATGCTTAGTTTTTTTTTTTTTTTTTAAGATTTATATATTTGTTTGAGAGGTAGAGTTACAGACAGTGAGAGGGAAAGACAGAGAGAAAGGTCTTCCATCTGCTGGTTCACTCTCTAAATGGCCGCAACGGCTGGAGCTGGGCTGATTCGAAGCCAGGAGCCAGGAGCTTCTTCCAGGTCTCCCATGTGGGTGCAGGGGCCCAAGGACCTGGGCCATCTTCCACTGCTTTCCCAGGCCACAGCAGAGAGCTGGATCGAAAGAGGAGCAGCCAGGACTCAAACCAGCGCCGCAGGCAGAGAATTAACCTACTGTGCCACAGTGCCGGTCCTGTATGTTCAGTTTTATAAGGAATGGCCAAACTGGCTTCCAGCAAGGCTGGCATTTAAAATTCCACTTTAACACTGGAATTATATTGCAATTATATTTAATAATATTTGCAAACATCTCTTCAGCTAAATATTTAACTTTTTAAGGAAACCACCTTTTGTTTACTTTTTAATTAAAAAAAAAGTTAGTGGTGGGTATTGGATGCCGTGGTTAATGCACTATGCGGGACACCTACCTGTATTCCCTATCAGAGTGTCTGGGTTCAAGTCCTGACTCCATTTCCTTTTCTTTCTCTTTTTAAGATGTATGTATTTATTTAAAGGACAGAGAGAGAGAGAGAGAGATCTTCCATCTGCTGGTTCACTCCCCAAACAACCAAGGCTGGACCAAGATGAAGCCGGGAACTGGGAACCCCACCCACGTGGGTGCAGGGGCTTGAGTATTTAGGCCATCTTCCACTGCTTTCCCAGGAGCATTAGCAGGGAGCTGGGTCAGAAGTGGAGCAGCCTGGTCTCAAACAGGTACTCATGCGGGACGCCAGTGTTACAGGCGGTGGCTTAACCCCCTGCGCCACAGTGCCAGCCCTCTGGCTCCGCTTCTGAGTCCAGCTTCCTGCTAATGTGCATCCCGGGAGGCAGCAGGGGAGGTGTCAGAGTCCCTTGCAGCCGAGTGGGAGACCCAGAGCAAGTTCTAGCCTCCTGGCTTCAGTTTGTCCCAGCCCGACTTGTGTGGATATTTTGGGAGCAAATGAGTGAATGCAAATGCGCTCTCTCTCTGTCTCTCAACTAAATGAAATTTAATTTAAAAAATGTAAATAATAATTCTTTAAAAATCAGTATCACCCCCAAAATTGCTGAAAACCCCAAAAGGAAATAGCACAGGGATGCAGGGAATAGAAAACGTTCTACAGCACCGAGAGTGCGTGGCGAGAAACACACTTGGGCAGAAAGGAGGAAGTCACATAGTTAGGTATTCCGCCCGAAAAGAAACCTCAAGCTTTTGGAGCCTTAGCTTGCACACAGAGAGCTCGGCTGCAAACGCTGCGCTGATGCCTTCTGCTAAGCTCCTCTCTGCATGCACGGTGTTGCCTCAGCGCTGAGGGAAGCCGCACGGTCTGACGGATTAGCTCATATTGAAAGGTGTTCACTTTAAGGGCTGCACAGCCGCCCTAGCGATGGGTACGGGAAGCCTTCTGTGCCGTGAGCATGGGCGTTTCCGTCTCTTGGGGCTGGGTCTGCTGACCGTGGAGCCCCCAGAGGTGCATGGAATGCATGCACCTGGACTTGCCCTTCACGGGCCCACGCTGCTCCTCCCTTGCCCCTCACACACCAAGGCTCAGGAACGGACGTGGCTGTGGCTGAACGCACCCCTACAAGAATAGGGCCGGGGTCCGGACCCCTGGCCCCTGTAAAACAGGGCATTGCAGGCGTAATCAGGATGTCACTCGGTGTCGGGTCTCCCCCGTGCCAGACCTCATGCACAGCGGGGAGACGGACCCTGTCACCATCAGCACAGCCCCCCGCAGGCCAAAGAAGCGGGGGCAGCAGCAGAGAGGAGCAGTGGACGGGGCGACTCCTGGGGCCTTAGCCTCGCCTCCGGGCTGGCCGGCTTCAGCCATGGCTCCTATGTTCCACGCGCCTCCTCCTCCCCACCCCAACCCTGGGTCTCCTCCTTTGGGCTCCCAGACCCCAGCACCCAGAGTGCAGGCTGCGTCTGACCAGCGCGGAGCACAGCCGGCTGTCCCCTGGTCTCTGCAGCCTGTGCTCCGGCTCCCAGATCTGCTGTGCCCCCTGCCTCGGCCTCCGGGGAGGTTCTCACCAGGGTCGCCTCGCCTCCCCCAGCCCCCTCTGCCACCCGGCCCGTTTAGTCCTCGGGCCGTCACGTTCGTCCCCATCAAATGTGATGTTGTCAGCCCTGGCCGACGGCATTTAGCAGGGTGAAAGTTAATGGCGGATGCGAGGTGTGAGAGGGAAAATCTTTTCCAGCCCTTGTCACACGCGCTGTCATCACGAATGGGCCATTAGCTGTGGTGCCCAGAAGGGCATTGCAGACCCCGGGCTGGCCTCTCTGCAGGAGGTCACTGGCCTGAGCTCCCAGAGACACCAGGGCCCATCTTCCTGAGGGGCAGGAGAGGCACTTCCTGAGTCATTCCTTTATCTATGAAACCCTGGACCCAGGCCGGAAGGAGTGGCTCCCTTCTGGGAGGATTCTGTGAGTGTGAGTGAAGGGGCAGGCGTGTGTGCCTCTGGGACACAGCCATTCTACACAGCCACTTTGACAACGGCTATTTCTGTGGGCGTGGGACGCATCCAGAAAAAAAAAAAAAAAAAGCCCAAATGTGTCCAGTGTTTTATTTCTGGGTGAGAGGATAATTCATGA